GAAGTTTGTTCGGACTCATACCGTCCATACCGTCCATACCGTCCATACAAGTCCATACCGTCCATACCGTCCATACCGTTCATACACGTTCATACCGTTCGTGACGGTCCCTCCGTGTCCTCCCTGAATGTCCTCCATATAGAGTCCTGTAGACCATGGCGAGATCAAGGGGATATACACCGAAGCTGCCGGTGAAGCAGCTGGCTATTCTAGGTAAGCTTTGTAGTCTCTCTAGTCAAACTCTTCTGTACCTGTACCTGTTTTCTCTGGAGCAATGAAGTCTTTCTGGGTGTCCGCATTGGTGAAGCTGCACCTGTCAGTGTGTGCGAGATGTGCTGCGATGAATCAAGTGGTCAGTAGTCTAGGAGTTGAACTCGTCTCACGCTTGATAGCTTCGGCATTCGACATGAATCTCACAATGCATGGCTAGGACGGAGGCAGCAGCGAAACTGGAGTGGATAGACACACATCCCGTACAGGTACCAACACCTACATCAAAGTCGACGACTAACACGCCTTACAGCTGTCGCTCGCTTCGCCGAGCCACTGGCTCTGACATCCGTCTTCCCCTACCTCCCGGAGATGATAGCAAGCTTCGGCGTCGAGAAGAACGACGTTGCGAAATGGGCTGGTATAACAGGTGCCGTCTTCTCGATAGCCCAGAGCGCCACCGCGGTGCCATGGGGCAAAGCATCGGATACCTTCGGCAGGAAGCCTATCATCCTAATAGGTCTGATGAGTACCATGATTTGCTTCATGCTCTGGGGCGTGTCGACGAGTCTGTGGATGGCCTTGACCGTGCGAGCGATATCCGGGGCTACTAACGGCAATGGTATGTTCCCCTGTTCTGATAACTTGGTAGATATTTCATAACTAACTGCACACAGTCGGTATCATAAGAACCATGGTGGCAGAGATGGTCCCAGAGAAAGAGCTACAGCCGCGAGCATTCTCGCTCATGCCTCTAGTATGGAGTATAGGGTCCGTCTTCGGCCCAGCATTCGGCGGCTTCTTTGCTCGACCAGCGGAACAATACCCCAGCCTGTTCGGCAACAACTGGTTCCTGAAGAAATACCCCTTCGCCCTCCCCAACATCGTCGCATGCGCCGTATTCTTCGTGTCCTGCATGACAGGCCTCCTCTTCCTCAAGGTAAACAACTCCCCTCCCACCACCACCATACCTCCGCATCACACTAACTCCACCTCCAGGAAACCCTAGAATCCAAACGCAACCACCGCGACTGGGGCCTCAAGCTAGGCGAGAAGCTAACCGACACCCTCCGGCCCTCGCGAAGACACAACCGCCGGCGCGGCCACCGCCGGCGCTCCTTCGTCGACGACGAGGCCCAAGCACCCCTCCTGTCGGAGCAAGACCTGTCCTCCTCCGAGCAACTAACAACAACACCCCAAGCCGGCCCAAGCCACGCCGAGATCTTCACCAAGCAAACCTGCATCAACCTCCTCTCCTACACCTTCCTGGCCTTACACAGCGTAGCCTACGATCAGGTCCTCCCGGTATTCCTCAACTACCCGCGGCAAGTCCCCGACGGCGACAACACCCGCCTCCCCTTCAAGTTCTCTGGCGGGTTCGGGCTGTCGTCCGACCGGATCGGGTCCATCTTCACGGTGTACGGCATCGCCTGCGGCGTAATCCAGTTCTTCGTCTTCCCCCCCTTGTGCACGCGGTTCGGGGTCCTGAACTGCTACCGCGCCGCGGCGCTTACTTTTCCCTTGGTGTACCTCGTCACTCCCTACACGGCGCTGATACAAGATGATAAACTGCGCTATGCGCTGTTCATGGCGATCATGCTCGTCAAGGGGTTTGTGGTCATCGTCGGCTTCCCCTGCACGACGATCCTACTAACCAACTCCGCCTCGTCGCTGCGCATCTTGGGGACCTTGAACGGGTACGCCACGAGTTTCAGCGGGTTGGGGCGGGCCATCGGCCCCGCACTGACGGGGAGCGTTTTTAGCTTGGGGGTTAGGAAGGGGTACATGATTTTTCCCTGGTGGACGCTGGCGGCGGTTAGTCTCGTGGGGGCGCTGCCGAGCTGGTGGATTGTCGAGGGGGACGGGCCGAGCGGGCGGGCGGTTGATGGTAGTGAGGATGAGGAAGACGAGGAGTTTGAGGAGGATAATCTGTTACCTGCTGCTGATGGGATGGAGGCTCTTGTTTCTCTTGAGGCTGAGAGCGAGGATGCGGTGGGGAGATATAGGGATGTGGAGGAGGATGAGGATGAAGAACAAGAAGGAAAGACGAGCGGGACGGATGGATGGGGCCGGGTGGTGGTGTCGAAACGGCCGGAGCAGCAGGGGTTGGTCGTACCAGAGCCGGACGACTCGGAGTTGAGCGACTGTCCCCCGCTCTGTCCGGAGTTGAAGGGCAGTCCCAACAAGGGGAAGAAGGCGCCGCCGCAGGTCAGGATGCGGAGGATGTCGGCTGCCGGGAGGGATATCGAAGGTGCCAATGGACGGAGCGTGGCGAGCAGCCACCGGTCTGATGCGAGTGTTGACTGAGATCATGTCTGACGAATCTTAAGCATGGAAGACTTCTGGGTTCTTGGAGTACAGGCGTTGGTTCAAGGCATTTTGATATCCCGATGAGATAGTGTGGGATGAATATGTCATGGTGTTTTGGATATGCATAGGAGCTGGATAGATAGCTTGAATGGGCATAAACAATCCCCGAAGGGGGAGAATACATTTGACCATAAGCAATACACGTGTTCTTGTTCCGCAGCATCAGGTATTCTCACCGGAGGTTCTGTCCAGCCTACAGTTGCATGCCTCTTGTCACGAGCCAATAGAAAGAACGACGGCGGTTGCGTACACTTGACACCAGACACGCATGAGCCCGAAGCACCTTCAGCCAAACTGCTTTCTTCATGCTCAAATCCTTAATCTCGATGTCTCTCTCCCAGTGCGTTTCCCCCCTAACATACAACCCCAGGTGCCACGTCATCTCAGTGGAAGAAAGCGGAGGGGGATCTCGAAAACTTTCCCGAATCTGTGCTCGTACATGCCTTGTTCCTTTCGTTGAAGGCCTGGTATAAGTTCTGTGCTCCCTTTTGGCGCGGGCGCGTGGTTGTGGAGGGGCATACTGGTGGCCCAACCCGTCTCGTGCTGATTTTTCAAAAACCGAGGAAGGAAGGGAGTTCATGGCGCTCTGATGTAGAGGCACGTATGTTGGGTCCTTAGAAGAGGATGAAGAGGATGGTCTTTGAGTAACCAGTTGTCAATGCTGCGTCTTATACATGGCAGGTTTGAAGATCCGTCGTTGTAACTAAGTGATCGAAGTGCCAACCGAGTCTGCTCGAGAGGACAAGTCGGAATCCTTCGTTGTATGTTTGCGGACACCCAGTCCCTCACAAGACCCAGGTCTATGACTCCATTTATCCATCTATGTCTAGACGTATTCATACAAAACGCCCTCGCTCGCCTGCTCTCTCCTCTCTCAGTGCCAAGTCTAACATCTAAGTCTACATCTAGAACTTATAAACCTGCTCGGGGGTATACCCCAAATCCTTAAGCACACCCACCAACTCGCCCTGGTCCCGGGGACTCTTCTTATCACCACTAATACTCTTCATCATCCCAGGCGGGCCGCACACGAACAACTTAATATTCTCCGTCTTGGGCTCGGGCAGCACCGTCTTAAGCAGCTCCTTGTTGATGTACCCCTTGCCACCAGTCCACTCCTTAGGCGGGTTATCGAGCACGTAAAACGCGCGGAAGCGGTTCGGGTACGTGTTCTCGAGGTGTGCGAGTTCAGACTTGAGCAGGACGTCCTCCTCGGACACGTTGCCGACGACGAGGGTCACCTTGGTTTTGTCGGAGGGGTTGTTGAAGATGGCGCGGCAGAGCTGGTACATGGGGGTTATGCCCGTGCCGCCCGCGATGAGGCCGACGTGCGCGTGCTTGTTCTCGGACCAGGGGTACTTGGGGAGGGGACCCTTGATGTCGAGGCGCTGGCCGGGGACCATGTCGTGCAGGTGGGTGGACATGGGCCCGTTTTCGTACTTCTTGACCAGGAGGTCCATGTGGCCCTTGGTGTCTGGTTTGTGGGGAGTTAGCTTTTGTACATGAGTTAGAGGAAGAGAGAAAAACGCACCCTCGTCGGAGATTGGGGTGTAAGGCCTCATGACGGCCTTCTCGGCGCCCTCGGGCTTGTACTTGGTCAGGATGGCGCTAGCGACGTGCAGGCCGGAGACCATGTCCTCCTCGGGCAGCTTGAAGCGGAAGCGCTTGGTGTTGTGGTTGACGATCTCGACGTCGTCGAGGCGCAGGGACAGGAACCCTTGGTCGCCGCCGGTCAGGGCGGCCTTGGGGCCCGAGGCGGGCAGGCCGACCTTGTTGGCCGCGTCCTGCACCTTCTCCTCCGCCTTCTTGGCCGCGGGCGTGCCGGACAGGAAGTAGTAGCCCACTCCGCCGAGGCCGAGGGCCGCGGCCGCGCCGTAGAGGAGCGTGTTGTTACCACCGCCGCTGCCGCCCGGGCTCGGGGGCTGGGCGGAGGTGCCGGAGGTGCCTGTCGCGCCCTGGGGACCGGGGGTTGCGGACTCGGTGGCGTATTTGCGGCATTGCTGGGGAGAGAAGAGTAATTGGTCAGTTTTTGTCACTCAAGTTCATTAAAGCGATTGAGGTTGTCGCGGGAATTCCGCGAGGTTGGAGGGGGAAGCTTCCCACAGCTCCGATGGTAGATAAAACTCACCTGGCGGACCGGCGCGGCGGCGCGGAAGACAGACCTTGCGAACATGGTCATGATTGCGGATATGATTGGCGGAAGTCAATCGGGGGAAAAGATGCAGCTGTCGAGCTAGATATAAAGTTTGGAATGGGATAAAAGGCCAAGGAGATCGGGAGCTTTCTGCTTGCCAATTGCTTCCGCTAGCGGCTGCATTGCGTCATACACGTGATGTGGGCCGTCGGTTTGCTCTAGATTAGGCACAACCAGATTTGCTTCGTTGATGAGACGATTAACCGAGCCTTATTTTTCAGTCATTGGCAGGATGGCCGAGCGGTCTAAGGCGCTAGACTCAAGTGTTTCCACACTTCTGTTCTCTCCAAGAACAGAGCATTCTAGTATCGAAAGGTGCGCGGGTTCGAATCCCGCTCCTGTCATGTTTTTGCTTTTGCTGCTTTCTGGTGTTTGAGATACGGAACCTATTCTTTTTACTGCGATGTGTCCTGCTGAACATCGAATGTTGCTTCGCTTTGAGATGGACCGGTGTACCAGGCAGTTCGCACAGCCGGACGGTTGGTGGCCATCGTCATGGTAACCCTAGCATTCGGCTCGTTTTGAGAGTAAACTAAGCCGTGATACGGTGTGAATGAGTGACTACTCTTCCACTTTGGAGGGAATGCCAGACGGAACGATGACAGCTTCATTACCAGAATGGAAGAAATGTTGAACTACCTTACTGTGTAGCAACGAGATGCGGTTATCACAGAGAGATATGGGAAGTCCCTCAACTGGCCTTTCACTTGACGATAACGGAGCAACCTTCTAGGTGACAAGACGTACGAATACCTCGTTGAAAGTCCATATTCATACGGTAACCTGTCATAACAGGGAAGTCCATAAGGACTCGCGGGCCTCTTTACTCTCCTAGAATTTCTGCTCAACATCCATCCACCCCGCCTCTTCCACGCCTCCCCCAACACCTCCATCCCAAAGTAGCCCCAGGAAATCTCCTGGGTGCTGTTCCTCTTCCTCCACCACACGAGTTTCATAAATCATGGGGATGTGCGCCAACTGCTGTTGTTGTTATATCAACGAGAGAGAAGACCCAACGGACAGGAGCAACCGTACCAACCGTCCAAAACATGCTTCTCTAACCCAGCCAAACCAACCCCCCCTTTCAACCCCCGCCTGCCAAAAATAATAAGCTGCAGTCATAACGCGCGCAAGAAAAGGCAAAAGCAAGGCAAAAGCATGGAAGGCTTGAAAAACGACCGGAACGAAAAGCAAAAGGGAGGATTCGCTCCACCAAAACAAAAAGTAGTGTACATTCTCCAGTCCAGGCTCCAACGCCGCCATCCACGGTTGATGCCCCCGGTGCTACCTGCCCGGCTCGGCTTTGCCATCCTCCAGTTTCGCGTCGGGCAGCGTCTCGAGGGTTGGCGTGCTGTCGTTCTTTTTGCCAATGGTATCTTGACTGCCCCGCCGCATTGTGCCGATGTCCTGGTGGAATAGCAGCGTCGGCGTGTTGGCCTGGCTCCCGCCCCGTTGGCCGTGATAGTGGACCACCTGCGGCGGCGTCATGCCCGCTTGCGTGCCCAGTAGATGCTGGGGGTAGGGGTTGAGGTCTTTGCTCGAGGTGGAGAAGGTCGAGACTATCGGTTGGTGGTACCCGTTTGCGGCGTTGCCCGTACTGGGGGTAGGAGTGTGCCCAAAGCCACCAGCGTTGGAAACGGTTCCAAGGGGTTGTTGCGAGGGCGTGTGCTCTGCTTGGGTCGGCGTGCCCACTTCGTTGTCCGGGCTGTCGGCAAGGTTGCTGGTGAGGCTGCTGATACCGCCCTCGATGTCCCTGAGGAGGCGCACGTATTCCTCCGGTACCAGTCCGCTCTCTTGCGTCTTTGGATCCTCGGCCACGAGCCAGCCTTGACCGTGCCGGTAGGAAACCCATATAATCTGGCCTTCCACCAGAGGCAGCTCGTTTTCGTTCTCCCGCTCAAAGTCGAACAAGGCGACTGCTTTACCGTGCATCTCCTCGTCGGGGGAGGTGATTGTAAACTGGTAGTCTCGGGAGTACCTCGACTCGTCGACTTCCTGGAAACCTGGGGAGGAGGCGCCGCTTGAGCCGTCCGAGTCGGGATAGTCTGCCTCGTGGCCGGCGTAGTGACGCGGTTGTTGCTCTGCTACCGGATAATGCGCTTGTGAATGCCGGGCCTGACCCGCAGGGTAGGTGACATATTCGCCGCCTGGACCGTTCGCCTCGGCCCCTTGGTTCACATAGTACCTCTCGCTGCCATCGCCGCTCGTCCCAACATAGTAGCCTCTCTCCTGGTCGAAGTTGCCGGGGTTCATCACACCTTGCCCTCCTTGGCCGTCGCGCGATGTGCGGCTCCTGCCATATGCGGCGCCGCCCGACTTGTGTTTCCGGTGTCGCGAGCTCACCACCGGGCTTTGAAGATCTTCGTCCTCGCTATATGGAGGTCCGTCCCCGAAGCGAATCGGCGGGAGGTCGTTCGCCTTGCCAAAGCCGTCTGTTGTCCACGAGCCCGTCTCCCAGCTCGACCTGCTATCCCACGACGTCGGAGGGTCGGACAGACGTCGGTGTTCGCTCGAAGGAGTGGTCATGCCGGACGGCGGTCGCGACGACTCTGGTGGCGGGCCATAGTGCAAGGGGTGGGCTGCCGGATAGGCAAAGTCACGCACCAGCGCATACGGCAAGGTGGACGGGAAAATCGGGAAGATGTGAGAGGGTGGTCGCGAGCGCGAGGGTATCGAGCCGGTCGAGTACTGCGACAGGCGGTTCTTGGATGCGTGTGACATGGGGCGCGACAGGGTCGATCTTCGATTCGGGTTTGGAGGAGATGTTATTAAAGGCGGGAGCGGGGGGTGATTGGGATTCGCGCCGGGTGACGTGATAGCGGGCGGGGACGTAGCTGGCGATGATGTTGGCGACATGATAGCGGTCATCTTTTATGGGTGATATTGATCAATACTTGAATCCAATGCCAGTCAAGCAAAAGCTGACGATGTGTCTTGTTTTTGCGCGTCGGGAATGGGCGCTTGGTTGTTTGAGGATGTCCCTGTGTCTCGAGGCTGACCGCTTCAGCCTTCAGCTGCCTGCCTGTCGCCCGGACCTCCTGTTGTCCTGCCCTTCTCTCAGTCTCGAGTCTGACTTACGCCTTGTATGTGTTATGCCAAGACCAAGAATGTTCGTGACAAGTCGCGGACACCGCTTGTCGCTGTGATGGCGGCCAAGGCGCAGTAGGAATTGAGTGCGCAGCCGGTCGCGGGGAGGTAGATTATGCCTGGCTGGCAGCGAGGGGCCTCGGGTTTGTTATTGCGGTCGGTGGCCGTGTCGGAGGACGCAAAGGGTGGGTTCGGCGACGTATCACCGGCGCATTTGCGACAGAAATGGGCTACTAGTTGGAAGGAGGAATAAACGCTTCAAAGAACGAAGATGGCAGACCGGGACAAGGTAGCGAAAGAGCCAAGTGAAGTTGTGTTGTGGACCAATGTAAACGCTTGGTGGTATGTAATGTGGTAAAGACCAGAGTCGACACAAGAGTGTTTCTGTTTCTGGCTGCTGGGGGCGGAGGAGCCAGGACCAACTGTGGAGTCCCGTCAAGGTGGTACCTTACTGTGTTAGGCGCCCGCTCTTTGCGAGTGTCTCAGCTTCTGATTGGCTGATCCAAGCGCGTAAACCAGCTCAAGCAGACAGTCGCTAACTTTACCTCTCGTGCTATGTTTCGGTGGCGTTTCTTTGACTTTGACAACATTGGATTGCCGCGAGGACATGATTGTTGGAAACTTCCTGAACAACCAAATGCAGGAAGGAGCTCTAAAGAGGTTCCTTCCACCGGCAACCGTCCGATACTGTCGGTCAAGAGAACTAACGTGAGGAAGCTGCCATGACAGTTTCTTCGTTCCCACCTCAACCTTGCAGCTGCAGAATGAGGGGTCTCTCTGCTTCCTTGCGCAAATCACAGCGAGGGAAGCTACAGCTGAGCAGTGCCTGAGACAAATCGATCCGATGGCGCCTTTCCCGCAACTACCCACCGGTAAAAATAGACTGTGCAGTTCATGAAACATGAAACACAAACTCTAAAGTCATGTCGTGTTCACCACTTGGTCGTCATCCAAGACACGTACGTAGGTATGTCTAACCCGATTTACAGACAGACACAGCTGTGGCCATCATACTGCTAGTTTATGAATCGATCTAATAGTATTTTGCAGCTCTCGAAGAGACCTACCTGATACGCCTAGTGTCTTGACGAAGCTATCGCTGACATGAAAGGAGAGGAAAGGAAGAGCTCTCGAAGTGCTGCCTATCCGATCTTCATCTGCTGTGCAATGTGCAGCTGCAAGCCTTAGAGTTTGCCTAACCATCACACTCTGATTTACAGAAGCCACTTGTTCCCTTGCTCCTGATTGAAGTCTGTCGATCGATATGTCCCTCAAATTTCTCTTCCCCCGTCCACGCTGACAGTCAATACCCGGCTATACGAGTGACACCTCTTTCACTTCATTCGCTCCGAGCCTTGCTTTTTTTCGGGCAGTCGAGTGCTTTCTTCACGTAGGGTTAGTGTCAGTAACGCCATTCAGAAATGACGACGGTAATCTAACACAACAACAGTCACCATGGGAAATCCAACAACCCCAACAACCCCATCCTCATCGACAGACGAAGTGACGCCCCCACCGCCTCCCACCGTCCTCCAAGTCCTCCTCACCGTCCTCACCCTATCAGGCATGAACCTCGCCTGCGCCAGACGACACCGTCGCCGGCCAGGTCCACGTGGCCCTTTTTCGCGCTGGCTACGCGCTCCAATCCGGCGTGCTGCGCATCCCGGACCGGTAGGGGCTCTTCTGGGCCGGGCCGCCGTCCGAACCCGGGGTCGAGCAGGCCCAGGGGCACCGGTTCGCCGCCGTCCTCCTGACATCGGTGTTCATGCTGGCGACGTGCATGCCAATGGCGGTTTTGCTGACGCTCTTCAAGCCCGAGGACGGTGTGCCCATGATGAAGCTGTTTGCTGGGTTTGTTTGCGCTGACTCCGTTTGTTTTCGTCTGGGTCTTCTCCGTGTGCGTTGATCGGGGGATACAACTGGGGGGGGCTGGGCGCGGCTGGTTTGTAGAAGAGGTGAGGAAGCAAGAAGTCTGCCAAGGGGTGATGCTTGCGATAGCAGACAATCCCAAGTACAGCTGTTGTAGGATTCAGGTACTCTTGTTGGCGCGTTACCTGAATGCACAGACGTGACGAACACACGATTAGATGACGAGATGACGATCGCCATGTTACCACACGAACACGCTTAATCCTACTACAGTTGTAAATACACAACCCCGAGGAGCTGCACTCCGTCCAACTGCTCGAATGGAGCCCCCTTTTTAAAGTTCCAAGTGTTCCACTGTGATGCTATTTTGGTCCTGCGGCCGACTCCG